CATGGCTTCAAGGTACTGACACCATAGCTACAACCATGGCTTCAAGGTACTGACACCATAGCGACAACCATGGCTTCATGTTACTGACACCATAGTGACAACCATGGCCTCAAGGTACTGAAACCATAGTGACAACCATGGCTTCAAGGTACTGACACCATAGTGACAACCATGGCTACAAGGTACTGACACCATAGTGACAACCATGGCTTCAAGGTACTGACACCATAGCTACAACCATGGCTTCAAGGTACTGACACCATAGCGACAACCATGGCTTCATGTTACTGACACCATAGTGACAACCATGGCCTCAAGGTACTGAAACCATAGTGACAACCATGGCTTCAAGGTACTGACACCATAGTGACAACCATGGCTACAAGGTACTGACATCATAGTGACAACCATGGCTACAAGGTACTGACATCATAGTGACAACCATGGCTTCAAGGTACTGACACCATAGTGACAACCATGGCTTCAAGGTACTGACACCATAGTGACAACCATGGCTACAAGGTACTGACACCATAGTGACAACCATGGCTTCAAGGTACTGACACCATAGCTACAACCATGGCTTCAAGGTACTGACACCATAGCGACAACCATGGCTTCATGTTACTGACACCATAGTGACAACCATGGCCTCAAGGTACTGACACCATAGTGACAACCATGGCTTCAAGGTACTGACACCATAGTGACAACCATGGCTACAAGGTACTGACACCATAGCTACAACCATGGCTTCAAGGTACTGAAACCATAGTGACAACCATGGCTTCAAGGTACTGACACCATAGTGAAAACCATGGCTACAAGGTACTGACACCATAGTGACAACCATGGCTTCAAGGTACTGACACCATAGTGACAACCATGGCTACAAGCTACTGACACAATAGTGACAACCATGGCTACAAGCTACTGACTCCATAGTAACAAGTTCTCTTTTGTGTTCCTGCCTGTTAAGATAATATATTTTACTTTTCAGTATGAATACCCTCAGATTGATCTATTGTCCACCAACAACATGTCAATGATCAGGAAACACGATTGTTAGCAACAGATACATCTCTCAAATGTGTGAAATACTGACTCTAAAAGCAGACAAAATCTTTTTGCACAGCTATCAAAACATATGCAACAAATATTCACTGAGTAAAAACATACAAAACACCTGAGATTTGATTGTCAATAAAACCATTCATGACATCACAAACATGCTAAACGATCCATACGCATTAATGCTAAAACAGTTTTCTACTTTAAAAGTACTAGGTATAAATGAAAAAAGTGTATGTAGATGTATATATATATATTTATATATTAGTTAAAATGACACCATATATAAATTATATCATGTATATTCAAGTAAAAATTCAAGGTCTTGTGTCCTTCAATTTACATTTAACCTGCCAATTAATTTGACCATACTCTGACTGTTAATGGGGCACATCAACACAAGTATCAGTTTGGTATGTTATTTGGCCCAGAAACTATTAATACTGACAATGTGACATGCTGGGCCATCAAAACCATTAATATCAGACCATTATTTGATGTGATATGATGGCCCATAAACCTAATATCAGATCACTAACTGACATGACATGCTGGGCCATCAAAACCATTAATATCGGACCACTATTTGATGTGACACAATAAGTCATGATACCATTAATTCTGGACCTATAACCAACGTGACACAATGCTTCATAAAGTTATTCATGTTGGACCACTAATTGACATGACACAATGGGCCATAAAACTCCATATCGGCCCATTAACGCGACACAACGGACCTTCAATATCGGACAACTAACTAATGTGTTACAACGGGCCATATAGTGATTTATATCTAACCATTAATCAATGTGACAACATGGCCAATAAAACCATTAATATCCTTCATTGACACAGGCATGACAGGCCATCGAGAGATAATACCAGTTTCCTTATGATGTGATATAATTGGTCATCAAACCATAAATATCAAACTGATTAAAACTGGTTGTAATTACATAAATATCAATCTGGTAATTCAACCAGTCGTAAAAACATCAATATCAGGCTGGTAATCCATCATCATACAAAAGATGATTTCAATTCAACCAACAAATAATCAGTTTTTGTGGAATAAAATCTTGAATGCACTAAAACAGATCAATTCTAGCAATCAAATAGATTTCAGTGTCAACACTACATGTTATACCTCTCAAATCATTCAATGCTTCTACAATTAATATATAAAATCCAGGTTTAAAAATTTCAAATTCCTGTAGCTGGACGGAAAAGGTGTTGGTCACCATTTGGCATTTACATAGAACATATTTTTTGTAGACAGAAGACACTTGTGACCTGACAAAAGCCTGATCATCCTCTCTCTGCACAGAAAGAAGACACTTGTGATTTGGATAAAAGACTGGCAATCTCTCTATGTACAAGAAGACAATAATAATCTGGAGAAAATTCTAAACATCCTCTTTCAATGTAGAGAGAAGACACTTGTGAGTAAGACAAAAGCCTTGCAATTCTCTCTCTACACAGACAGAAGGCACATGTGATTTAGACAACAGAGTGGCAATCATGTGATCTAGACAAAGAGACTTACCACCCGCTACAAAAAAAACATCTGTGATCTGGACGAAAACCTGACCTTTCCCTCTATTTAGACAGTAGACAGTTGTGCTCTAAACAAAAAAAAATTGGCCATTCTCTCTCTAGGTAGACGGAGGACACATGGACAAAAGCCTGTATGTAATTCCTCCAGTTTGTCAGCAATATTTCCATTCAAGTATACCAACACTACTAGCTTCTAAACCCTTCATAGTTAAGTATAAAACTTTAGTTAACTGGCAAATTATGATAACTTTGAGCAAAAACTGGCGATATGCATTATTTTATCTATATTTCACAAAAATATTTCCTTTCTGACAGTTTAGCACTTGTGTGCACACAAGGTCAACATCACACATATATCTCAGAACACAGGTATTGAACAACAGGTCATGTGTCACATACATGTGTCACAAACAGGTAACAGTAAACATGTGTCACACACACATAACAGTACACATGTGTCACACAGTTATCAAATGTCACACACTGGTATCATTACATATGTCACAAAAGGTAACAATACACATGTATCACACACTGGTAACACAACACCTGTTTTAAGGCATTATTGATAATCTGAACAATTTTCTAATACTTGTGATCTAGTTCTATAGTGGTATCAGGGTATACGTGTGTTGGTAACACCTGAGAATGCTCTATTGATATTTGGACAGGCAGTAGAGTCGACACAACGTCCGTTATACAGGACCTTGTTAGCTGGACATTGACAGCTGGCTACACATGGCTTGTAACATTTGCTGGACAAATCTGCTGATGGCTGGTCAAAGTTTTCACATGTGCGTGCACACACAGGTCCACACTCATCAAACACGAATCCCTTGGTCACATCACAGTTAAACTCTGCAATGAAAACATATCTTTCAATATGTAATTCTCATTCAGCTCAACAATATAAGTTTCCATAATTATTTCATCTAATTGCATCAAAAACTGTATGTTTTACACATTTAAAAGCCAAGTATTACACAAATTAATATAATGCTGTCACAATTCAAATTGTTTACCATCTCTTGGCAAAGCATATTGTAACCTTTGGAAAAAACATGTAGTAGTTATTCCCTAGTAACACTCTCATGAGGGTCAAAGTCAAAATGTTGGTTGCAGTAACCTACTTTCCAAAATATACATACAAACCATCAAAGCTACAATCACACCTATATCTTGATGATATTATGTCAATCAGTACAAGAGATATGCCTTGGAAAGATTTTTTTTCCTGATAAAGATAAAAATGTAGATGACACTGACATTTATATGAATAGTACATATCATACAGTCCTTCCTCCAAGACACTCAGACTAGTATGTACCACACTGTCCCTCCCACCTCAACCTCCAGGCACATCTAATAAAGTAAATAGCTCTGTGTCTCCCTGACTTTCAAACCCCTCTGACTAGTAGGTACCACATAGGGTCTTCTAGGCCCCTCCGACTACTAGGTACCACATAGGGTCCTCTAGGCCCCTCTGACTAGTAGGTACCACATAGGGTCCTCTAGGCCTCTCTGACTAGTAGGCACTAAATAGGGTCCTCTAGGCCTCTCTGACTAGTAGGTACCACATAGGGTCCTCTAGGCCTCTCTGACTAGTAGGTACCACATAGGGTCCTCTAGGCCCCTCTGACTAGTAGGTACCACATAGGGTCCTCTAGGCCCCTCCCGAGTAGTACATACCACACAGTCCTCCTGACCTCCATGCCAGTCTGATGCCTTTCTTGGCACACTCGCGTGCATAAGAGGATAAGACTTCACAGAGACAGGTGTCATTGTCGAGACATACACACATGTCATGGCGACATGCAGCGTAGAAAGGTTCAGGAGACACGGTCCGGTGACATCGAGAGAATGCTGGGCCCTGTAAATTTAAAACACATATAAAACATTGAACCTTACTGACTATATCTAAAGCATTATCATTTTGTACCCCCTTACATATAAAACATTGAACCTTACTGACTATATCTAAAGCATTATCATTTTGTACCCCCTTACATATAAAACATTGAACCTTACTGACTATATCTAAAGCATTATCACTTTGTACCCTTACATATAAAACATTGAACCTTACTGACTATATCTAAAGCATTATCACTTTGTACCCTTACATATAAAACATTGAACCTTACTGACTATATCTAAAGCATTATCACTTTGTACCCTTACATATAAAACATTGAACCTTACTGACTATATCTAAAGCATTATCACTTTGTACCCCCTTACATATAAAACATTGAACCTTACTGACTATATCTAAAACATTATCATTTTGTACCCCCTTACAAAGTGTGGAAGAGATCACTAATAAGAAACAGTGATGACATTTTAATTGAAGTTATCCATCCTAGTCTCTATCTTAACCCCTTATACAAAAGAAAAGAAAAAAAGTGATTAAAAGAAATCTTTTCACAAAATTTGAAAAAAAAAAATGTTTTGAAGTTGGAGTGAGAGATTGACAAGATTTAAATAGCCGCTGTGTATGACTTACATTGATGATGGCACATTTGGTTTCAGCAATGCGCTTTCCTCGGTAGCCAACCTCCTTACATGGGTCTATGTCTACAGCATTAGCACAGTTGTCCGAGGTCTGATCGTCCGCCTGTAGGATCACAAAATGATATTTCTATACTCTTCTTAATGGAATACACAAGAGACAACAGTAATTTACAAGACCTGCACTATTTTGTCTGAAACAGTCCCTCACATTATCTTAGTCAATCAAAATGCTGATTTCAACCGTCCATGACAAAGAAGCTCCACCCACTTTTCAGTCAAGTTGCTGATAGATTCTGGTCAAAATGTAGCATAATGAATTTAATGCAATACCTTTCTGCATGGAATATCTATCTAAATTACTATTTAGATTAATTCCTCATGTACACACCAGAAATTTGTCATGTCTATCTCCAAGTGGTAAAGGTATTTATTTACTAAAGCAGATTGATAAAACAACGGACATTGTGGAGAAGCATTGACAAAAGATGATGATGGGAGATTCATCTGAACATGTCAATATGTTTCTTTTAAATAGTGATTGAGATTTATGTTTCATACTCTATATCAATATCCAGTAAATAAAGGAGACAATACCCTGTGACGTGATCGTTTTAAATTTAGTTGTGATAGCGCCACTGAAGCTGATCCCTGAATTGACAACAAATTCACTTGGAGGAAAGTCAATCAGAACATGTCAGAAACATCATCATCATCATCATCATCATCATCATATCATCATCATCATCATCATCATCATCATCATCATCATCATCATCATCATCATCATCATCATCATCATCATCATATCATCATCATCATCATCATCATCATCATCATCATCATCATCATCATCATCATCATGTCAATCATCATCATCATCATCATCAACATCATCATCATCATCATCATCATCATCATCATATCATCATCATCATCATCATCATCATCATCATCATCATATCATCATCATCATCATACTCTCCACTTCACAATTGATGACACAATTTAGCATGTTGTAATTAATTTCTCAATTGTCAATGTCACTCATCTGCCTCAACATGTTTGGGCTAGTATCAGAATTCATGAGCATAAATGAGATTAGATCTGGACCATCATCTAATAAAACAATGTGTTACATAATCACTAATTTGAAACATTCAATAGAGCATTCACTTGACAGTTAACAATTGTTTTATGTCTTTTCTGTCAACAGTCAAACCTATTTCTCCAAATCTTGGTCCAAACATGAACTGACCTTCCAACTATTGCCGAAGATGCTTGGAGAGTTTGTGATCTGTTTGGAGCGAGTGCGCATGTCATCCTGAGGATAGCCATTGAAGTTTCCACACAGCCCACAAGTCTTGCGTTTGTATGAGCCTGGCACGCTTAGTTCTGCTTGGCTCTCTCCATTCCACACCAACTGTACAACACATAAACAAATTGTCCTCTACTGTTTATTTGTCACTATACCAGGGAATACTCATTTAGTCCATCACTGATCTCTTATAAATTAATTAGCATGAGATTTAGCTCAATTTAACACTAAAAGTGACAAAATTCCCACAGAAATATCTTCAGGCCTTGCCAAGAAACTGTAAAATCATGGACTTTTCCTGAGGTGTGGGTTCCTTTGAATGGTTACTCTAGATCCATAAATTTATCATATGCCCACAAAATGATAATCAGATGAAATTGCTACAAACTTGAATACGAGTCAACACACTTTGATGACAAAAAACTTTAATACAGGTCAACAAACTTTGATACAAGTCAACACACTTTGATACAAGTCAACAAACTTTGATACAAGTCAACACACTTTAATACAGGTCAACAAACTTTAATACATGTCAACAAACTTTGATACATGTCAACAAACTTTGATACAAGTCAACAAACTTTGATATGAGTCAACAAACTTTGATACAAGTCAACAAACTTTAATACAAGTCAACAAACTTTGATACAAGTCAACAAACTTTAATACAAGTCAACAAACTTTGATACGAGTCAACAAACTTATATACGAGTCAACAAACTTTGATACAAGTCAACAAACTTTAATACAAGTCAACAAACTTTGATACAAGTCAAAAAACTTATATACGAGTCAACAAACTTTGATACAAGTCAACAAACTTTAATACGAGTCAACAAACTTTGATAGGAGTCAACAAACTTTAGTATGAGTGAATTTAGGAAGATATATCCACGAGGTAATGTGGTAACAAAAATGCAAGTTGGTAAACCATGAAATCTGAACATCACAGTAATATATGGCTTTACTGAACTATTTGTCAAAGCAAACCAAGCCAAACCAACTCTCTCCCTGTCAGAATAGAACAAGTCATACATACCTGCATACCAATTCATCAGTGTTGACAAAGATACACTTACCTTAATTCCTTGTTTGTCAGAAACGACTGAGTCGCACATACTTTGATCCCCATTTGTAGGCGTAGACCTAGCCACACATACCTTGATCCCTACTTGTCGGTGTAGGCCTAGCTGTACATACCTTGATCCCTATTTGTCGGTGTAGGCCTAGCTGTACATACCTTGATCCCTATTTGTCGGTGTAGGCTTAGCTGTACATACCTTGATCCCTATTTGTCGGTGTAGGCCTAGCTGTGCATACCTTGATCCCTATTTGTCGGTGTAGGCCTAGCTGTACATACCTTGATCCCTATTTGTTGGTGTAGACCTAGCCACACATACCTTGATCCCTATTTGTTGGTGTAGGCCTAGCTGTACATACCTTGATCCCTATTTGTCGGTGTAGGCCTAGCTGTACATACCTTGATCCCTTTTTGTCAGTGTAGGCCTTGCTGTACATACCTTGATCCCTATTTTTACGTGTAGGCCTAGCCGTACATACCTTGATTCCTATTTGAGTGTTGAGGAACACTGTGCCATCCTTGACCTCCACGGAGAACACTGCCCCCTGTCTGTAGTTTGGTTGAATCACCTGATTATTTACCTACAACCCAACACAACATATCAGATAACAAGCTATAGTCTATATATTACAATTAACACGGAATAGAGAAGATAATTCAGAAGTACAACAATCTTTTTCTCTGATAATATCAGTCTGTTCCCATTTATTCTCATGCCATTACAAACAGATTGTGACTTAAGAAATTTATACATAATTCACCATAACAACACCATCCTGGAGCAGATCTATTTTGTAGCCAGACAGCTTGACTGTAAAGTTTTGGGCCCAGGACACAGCAAGGGAAGCAGAACGACGATCATGTTGAACCTCAACTCTGCAACATACATCCAACAGAGACTAGTGTAGGGATATTCTGCACAAGTTAGAATTTCATATGATTTTATAAACAAGAGATCCCACAGAGACTTTGACACCCACCATTGTTCTTTGAAAGTTGGATCTTTTCGCTTCTTTTCTCTTTTCTTCTGTTTTTGCTCTTAATGATTACAGATTGGAACATTCCTTTGCAGAAAAGGCAAAGATAATCTTGACACTGACTCGTGAGAAATTAATACAACATTGATTCAAGATCAAACCAGACATATAGAGAATTAATAGACACACAAAAAAAAAAGCATCTGACTTACGTGAAATCATCATTTTCACAGTCTGCAGCCATGATGTAGCGACAGGTTCCCATAAAACTGATGGACTCTCCATCAAATGTTTGGTAGTGTGGATCACCGTACACAAGGCAGGTAGCAGGACCTGTTCAAGACAAAAGGTTGATATGACTCATGTACACAGGGTAAACTAGATATAGTGCTTGTAGTAGGTCATCAAGTACACTGGACAGTGAAAAGTAGGTCAATGGGGCCGTAGTAGTACTTTAGACATGGGGCATGACTTGTAGTCTAGGTCAAAGGGCAATAGAGGTCATAAATATGACAGGCAGGCTTCTCACTTGTCTGACGGACAGACAGACAGACATGCCACTCACTTGTCTGTCCATCAGACAAAATATTCACTTTGACAAGTGGCCAGATAGGCTTTTTACTAGTCTGCAAACAGGCAGGCAGGGTACTCACTGGTCTGACAGACGGGACAGCACTGGCCAGGTATACGGGTCAAAGCAGCATCAAACCCACAGTTCTGGTATTCACACTGTTCTGTTGTACAGCTGACAGTTCCTCCCAGACAGCTGCATGTTGTACACTCATCTATAGTCCACACATCACCAGTCTGTGGACAGAGGTCACGCATGTTATACCTGTTACCAAGATCTCATGTCAATGGTTTACCTTTTATCTGAATCTCGTCAATGTTATACCTATTATCAGAATCTGGTGCCTTTACTGGAGTGCAAACATTGCAGCCTTTTTTTTCTAAGCACACTTTATTTTTGATATTTCCAGGCATAATATGACAGTAAGGACTTCCATAGTATCTAACTGTAAGAAGTATAGATAAGCCAGACAGGAAGCACCTGCTGAAACTGTTTACCTGGTAAGTAGTGCCCTGATACAAACATTCAGCACGGTCAATATCCTGACAGACTGGACAGCAGGTGCCTGGAGCTCTAAGTGGAACCTGGTCATCCAGACAGAAAACCCTTGGACAGTCCACTGCTACACAGCCGATCTCTCCTCCCTTCAACATAAACTTGTTCTTTATCACTCTGTTGGTATTAAAACTTTGACAATACATTTTTATTTTGGTATTTTACAAGACATGAATATCCCCGGTCAGAAAGCTAGTTTTAATTACACCACATTATCATATATAACACAATAATGGTAGTAAGTATTGAACGAGGACTCGGAACCTTTCCCAAAATTGGGACAAAATCCAGGCTTTCTAACAGATGAAGGATACTAAATAAATTGCTCTATTATCCCCAGAGGCCAAAAGGTCATCAACAATACAAACTTGATTCCACTTTACCCATGGATGCTTCAGACCAAGTTTGGGAGAAGTCAAATCAATACTGCAGAAAGAGTAGAATTTTCAAACTTTTTCCATTTTTTCGCCTCAACCCCAGGCCCCTTAGAGCTGAGACCCACCATTTATACCAAATTTGTTCCCCAAAGGATGCTTCTGACCAAATATGGTCAAAGTCTGCCTAGGTGTTTATGACAAGTAGATGTTTTAGGGGAAAAGTAGGCAGATGCCAGACACGACAGTATGGCATAAGGTCACTGCAAAAAACTATGGCAATGCAAGAGATTGTCATAACACACTCACCTGACAGCGACACACCATGCAAGGATCAGAGTTGTCTGCCCAGGTAGTTCCCTCTTCATAATAACGATCTTCTCTTGTATCGTAACACGCTGAAACACACACACATATACACTAAAGTAACACTGTCAACACTGGGAAATACATTTTTTTTTACATTTAAATCATTTTCCCTTTTAGTGTAAGACTTAAAAGCAGATCCTAACCTTACAAGAATATAATACCTGTGCATACTTTCTTTTTGCTCTTTTTGTATTGAGCAACAAACCCAATTATGTACCGAATTTCATGGCAAGCAGTTCTGTCATATGCAGAAACAAAATGGGTGGATAAGTTCAAGCTGTTGTGCATTCATACTCACACTAAAGTGTGGAATTAAATGGGAGAAGAATTCACTTAGCTCATGTTTATAACAAGAAAATATCAATCCAAGGTATTTTTAAAGGTATAAATCATCTTGTTCAGGAAAAGGAGAAATGGACCTGCTCTGTACAACAGGAATATACAGTGTGAACCAATCTAGCAGTGGACTTACCTGGACATTGAGGACAGCACTGTCCAGGCTGGACACGTTGAACAGAGGGTGGACAGGCAACAGGGTTACACCTTTGTGTGGTACACATCCAGTGATAGGAAGCCTGAAGACAAACACTAAAATCTCTTACTACGTGTTAGGTGTGTTTCATTACCAAACAAATCCTACTATGTCATCATGGTTTTGGTAAAAAAAGAAATGTTCGTAAGCAATTTGGGTTTCAATCCTGTCAAACTTCAATATCTCTGACATCTGTCTTCTTGCCTGTAAAGGTCTTACATGTGATATTACACAAGCCAGATATAATACCTCATATATCTAAAGCAAGAGGTTTTCTTTTTCACTACAATCCATATCATCTTGTGTTGAGGCAAACATGAGCCGACAATAAAGTAAATACCATCAAAGTTATTAATCTGAAGAGTTCCACAAGATAATGATAAAAATGTGTAAAAGTGTAACTTACCGAGCACTCGCACACAATACAGGGGTCTTGTGATGCCCGGGGTCTGAGGCTCACTCCAACAGTCTCTTGGGTACAATTGGTCCCGACTACAAGTATACATATCATAGTTATTCTAAATTTCTATTCCTAAATTAACACAGTTTCCAATAACAACAAGAGATACCAGAAGGATTTTAGCACCCATCGTTGTTTGATCTTTATTTTTTCTTTGAAAGCTGGATCTTTTCCCTTCTTTTCTCTTCTCTTTTCTGTTTTTGCTCTTAATGATAAGAAATTTGAACTTTTATCCATTGCCTGTCGCAATTTCGTTTTTCTGATCAGACAAAAAACGGGAACAACCAGGGACAAAGGGGAACATACAAATAAAATTTTAGAAAGATCTATGAACTAATTACATAGAAATCATGATAACAAACTTTTGAAGTGAAAATCTAAGATGACCACCTGTAGGCCGTTTTGTTTTTCTGATCAAACTCAACATGAAATGGGCACAAGGGGAACCTACACATCAAATTTTAGAAAGATCCATCCAGTTCTTCTCAGGAAAAAACCCATTAACAAACTTCACTGAAAAATACCAGATGCTATTTGTTGTCCATTTTGCTGTTCTGATCACCCCTTAAATTGAATGAACACAACTAGGGACTAAGGGAAACCTACATAAGAGTTATGAGAAAGATCCATGGAGTACATCTCAAGATATAGTGATAACAAAAGCTGTTTACGGATCGATCATGGACCACGGAGTACAGACGTAGGGCAATCTGAATCACCCACCATCTGATGATGTTGAGCTAGAAATGTGAATTTGAGCACAAAATTTAGTGACTGTCATACAACCTCTCCTCTCCAAAAATAATTTCACACCTCTGGGGCATTTATTAGAACAAATAACTATAGATAATGTTCTAACTCTACTTCCTTACTGTATATATGTCATCCTTTAAGTCTGAGCAGTAGTTTGTACATCTACCAAAATAATTGTGTAGTTTCCAGTAAAAGACAAAACTTTATACTTGGTCATTATAGCAGTCAAGGACTATAATTAGTTCTGAAACCTATTTTCATTCCAACAGTCAAGGTAAATACCTCTTACAAAGTAACTTCTTTAATTGCTGACTAAAATCAAAGAATTCTGTAAGCCAAGGTAGATAACTCAAGCACAATAATTTACTATGGTGTGTAAAACAATGTTAATTCTGTAAGACAAGGTAGATAACTCAAGCACAATAGTTTACTATGGTGTGTAAAACAATGTTAATTCTGTAAGACAAGGTAGATAACTCAAGCACAATAGTTTACTATGGTGTGTAAAACAATGTTAATTCTGTAAGACAAGGTAGATAACTCAAGCACAATAATTTACTATGGTGACTAAAACAATGTTAATTCTGTAAGCCAAGGTAGATAACTCAAGCACAATAATTTACTATGGCGAGTAAAACAATAATTCCGTAAATCAAGGTAGATCTCTAAAACAATAGTATACTTTGGTGACTTTTACCAATGCTGATTTCTTAAGTCAAGGTAGGTAACTCTAGATCAGCAAGATATGCTGATGACTAGAGAATAAAGTTATGCCATAAGAATACTTTACAGCAGTGGATGTGTAACATTGGTATCAAATCTAGAATCAACACCAACTAGGACAAGGTGTAACACTTACAGCCTGAGCAGGTAGGACAGCACTGTCCTGGACTTGGTGCCACTTGCTGTTCCACGGGACAGTTAGCGATCTGGGGACAGCTCTCGTGGTGACATTTCAGGCCGCCGCTCTGACAAATACACCAAAATCAACAGTCTGACAAACTGTTATACTAATATGACAGCAACTGCAGATAACAAATTTGAACTAAGTACCTGAAAACATCATTCTTGAGCAATTAAAAAATGGAAATATTTCACATTAACAAATCTGGTTTTACGACGGTTGGTAACTTACTTCACAGGTACAGACATCACATGGATCTCCATTAGGACTAAAACTTTGCCCCTCAGAGTAGGGCAAACCATTGTACCGGCAAGCTGAAACATAATTTATGTCTTTTACTATCGTACACATCAATGACAGAAAGTTCTCATAACTTCATTAGAAAATATCAAGAGTCAAACTTAACCAATTTAGATATCATCATTGCTATTCAAAACAAAACACTGTGATTGCTGAAGTGTGATACTCACAGGGACACACAGGACAACACTGGCCAGGAACATTAACCGGATTGTCACAGGTGTTGAAGCACTGCATCTCCATACAGGTGATGAGTCCAGCGGTACAGGAGCAGGTCACACATGGATTAGCAGCCATCTTCCACTGCTGACCATCCTGATACTGTTCACCTTTGTGTTCACACCCTATAACATGTATCACTTTAGAAATTATCAGGTTCAACATTAATGAATGTATACATCTATTAGGGGTTATTTAATTTCAGCATCTAAAAGTTGTTCTTATTTATAAGCTAATCTTCTCAAATTTCAGAATATTCTTTTACTGACAGAGTCTCTCTCATGTTCAAATAATATATTGTACAAACTCACAAACTTAGTATGTTAATTATGTAACTGTCAGCAGTAGCTGACATATCTTAGTATCAATATTGGTATACTCCAGTGACCCTTACATCATTGAAAAGAAGGAATAAATTCATACATACACCAAATCAAAATTCCTATAACATTAAATATATTACCACTGTGATTCAGAGTGTTAGTCACACCACATATCAAAATTCCTATAACATTAATTATATTACCACTGTGATTCAGAGTGTTAGTCACACCACATATCAAAATTCCTATAACATTAATTATATTACCACTGTGATTCAGTGTGTTAGTCACACCACATATCAAAATTCCTATAACATTAATTATATTACCACTGTGATTCAGTGTGTTAGTCACACCACATATCAAAATTCCTATAACATTAATTATATTACCACTGTGATTCAGAGTGTTAGTCACACCACATATCAAAATTCCTATAACATTAATTATATTACCACTGTGATTCAGTGTGTTTGTCACACCACATATCAAAATTCCTATAACATTAATTATATTACCACTGTGATTCAGTGTGTTAGTCACACCACATATCAAAATTCCTATAACATTAAATATATTACCACTGTGATTCAGAGTGTTAGTCACACCACATATCAAAATTCCTATAACATTAATTATATTACCACTGTGATTCAGTGTGTTAGTCACACCACATATCAACATGCTTTAATGATTATGAAATTTATTTCTGACATTGCCCTGGACTCTCAGACAGTATCCCTGATAATGACTTTGAATCTCAGGGTTAATTCTTGACACTGCCCTTGACTTTTAGGGATTAGTTTTGACTGTGACCTTGACATTAAAGGATTATTTCTGAATTTATGATAGCGACCTTGACTTTTAGGGGTTATTTCTGACAATGACATTGACTTTGTGGGATTATTTCTGAGGGTGACTTGAATTTTCAGGGATTATTTCTGACACTGCCCTTGACTATCTAGGGTTGTTTCAGACTGTGACCTTGACTTTCAGAATTGATCTCCCTAATATTTTTCATTTGAATTGATGCTTGCACACTTTTAGAACATTAACAGAAACTGCCAAATGGAAATAGCCAATACTCCTAATATTCAAGTACTGTTAATGTTAAGGGGTTCAGATATTTTTTATTTTTGAGGAGTGAATAAAGTTACAAAAAATAGATACTTTCAAAATGTAATCAATAAATCTATAATTCCTTTGATGTTTTCTGTTAAAGCCACAAAATAGGAAAGCAGCAATTTTTGCATTATGCTGTATTAAGAAACATAGCTGATAGCGTTAGCATATTTAAGGTGTTGATTCAGTAAGCATATACAATACAATGTAGTGTGTAGTGAAGGAAAGTTAGTTATAGCTGAATGGTATTGCTCTCAATTCAAACTAATGCTTTTGTTGTCTATCAACAATTACAACAAGATTTTATCAAGTAAAGTAGATATGTGATAATGGGATGTGAACCAGAGAAAAGTCACAGGGGAGATAATTATCAGAAGGAACTCGGTGAGAATGAGATGGTTGTAACCAAGAGAAAAGTCACACAAGGTGAGAATGAGATGGTTGTAACCAAGAGAAAAGTCACAAGGGATATAATTATCAGAAGGAACTCGGTGAGAATGAGATGGTTGTAACCAAGAGAAAAGTCACAAGGGAGATAATTATCAGAAGGAACTCGGTGAGAATGAGATGGTTGTAACCAAGAGAAAAGTCACAAGGGAGATAATTATCAGAAGGAACTCTGTGAGAATGAGATGGTTGTAACCAAGAGAAAAGTCACAAGGGAGATAATTATCAGAAGGAACTCGGTGAGAATGAGATGGTTGTAACCAAGAGAAAAGTCACAAGGGAGATAATTATCAGAAGGAACTCGGTGAGAATGAGATGGTTGTAACCAAGAGAAAAAGTCACAAGGGAGATAATTATCAGAAGGAACTCGGTGAGAATGAGATGGTTGTAACCAAGAGAAAAGTCACAAGGGAGATAATTATCAGAAGGAACTCGGTGAGAATGAGATGGTTGTAACCAAGAGAAAAGTCACAAGGGAGATAATTATCAGAAGGAACTCGGTGAGAATGAGATGGTTGTAACCAAGAGAAAAGTCACAAGGGAGATAATTATCAGAAGGAACTCGGTGAGAATGAGATGGTTGTAA